AAATACTTTGAGAGAGAGAGAGAGAGAGAGAGAGAGACAGACAGACAGACAGACAGACAGACAGACAGACAGGCATACAGACAGACAGACAGACAGACAGACAGACAGACAGACAGACAAAGAGAGCGTGGGTGGGTGGACCTGATAGCACACCTCAAAGCGGAAGACCACACGTGAATGTCGTCAAAGGCATAGATTCAGAAGACAGTGTCAATGATAAACTGTTCATCTCACGACGACAGCTACACCATGGCAATGTGCGACAGCATCTCTCTCTCTCTCTCTCTCTCTCTCTCTCTCTCTCTCTGTTTGATAGAGGAAAAAAGGAGCAAACCACACAAGACCACCCGCCAACCACCCACCTGCTTGAGATAACATGTTCCCACGTTAGTGTTGAAGTAAGAAGCACATAGACACAATACCGCAGGGAAAAATTAAGACAGAAACCACGGAATGAAAGAAATAAAGTAGAATCTACAAGTCCCCCCCCCCCAAAAAAAATCCCTCCAAAAAATCCCCAAACAAACAACAAAAATCCGTGAAATGACAGAAAAAAAAAGACAAAAAATTTACTAAAACTTCTACGGAAGTTAAATACCCTAATTGAAGAATGCGAGTCTTTTCAAAGAGGGAAAAAGAAAAAGAAAAACACGGAGAAAACGTGTAATTAAGGCATGAGTTTCCGACAGATAAAGAATAAATAATTATTTTTTAAAAATTAATTAAAAACAGCGATTTTTACCATTTAGACAATAACTTTCAAATCCACTCACCTTTACGAGGTAACATTGCTTATCACTTTCTCACTCTGCACTACTTGTAAATAAATAAGAAAACTGAAGCATCACGAGACATGTGGGTCTTAATCCTGTATAACGTTTGCTGTGAACCACCTGTGTGTGCGTGCGTGTGTGAGGGCGTGAGTGCGAGATACTGGCACGTGATACTGCCGGACAGCTGGGGCGCACGCACGTCTTCTGGCTCAGAAGGCCAGCTCACGGCGACTCGGTCGCTGCTTACTCATGCTCGCTCAACACACGCGCGGGTAGTAAGACGGGCTGTTAGTCGATGCCACGAGAAAGCCTGGAGCGATAATATATTCGTTTGTTTTAGTAAGCCTTTTACGGCATTTGCAACACAATTAGGTCTTATACAGTCGATTACGAATGAGTTGATGTCGTTGGGGGAGTGGGAAAAAAGGTCAACTCATCCGAAGCTCTGATTAACCGTTGGGATCTGTAAAGAAAAAGCGGTGTTGGGACCCGAGAAAAAAGATCAACTTAACTGAAGATCAACTCAAGCAGGTTCATTACAAGCGGGGTCGACTGTAAGTGCCAAAGAGAATAAGTAACGAACACAAAAAAGAAGGATGTCAGATAAGGACGAGAGATGCTTGATAGGAAAGACGGAGCAAACCACACCAGAGTACGGTACCTGCCAAACACACGAGCGATGTTCGCAGGCTTGACAACTTTTTCAAAACTCAACCAGGGACCCCCAACGTTATAACATCAGATCACACAAAACAACATTATGTCGGACAGGACAAGTTTTTGTTGTAGTAATCCTTTTAAAAAAAAAGAGAGAAAGATAGAAAAAACAAGTGAGGCATCGTGGTGAAATTAGGCGCTCGTTAAAATGATTAAATATAACTGATTCCATCCATGTTTTTTTCCAGCTCTGGACATAATTATTTTTCCCTGTTCAGTTTTAGGCCTGGGGTGCATCTATTTAATAATGCATTACTGTGAAGCTCTAAGTTACTCTAATATTAGTAATATGTATTGTCTATATATATATATATATACCAAACTGAAATCGGCATTTTTCTGCCCGAATGGCAATTTTTATCCAATTTTTGTTTCACGACTCAACATTTCTTTTTTGCCGTTTAAAAACGCATTAATGGGTGAATTTTACTGAAAACATTACAGGCACAAAAAATGTAAATTTGCAGTCTCAAACGTCTGATTTCACCTCTGAAAACAAGCGACCATCACCTCATTCAATCACAAATATTTTGACTTCTATTCAAGATAGAAGGGTATTTGTTTTGTTCGCCCAAAGCAAAACAAATGAATAAGCTTAGGAAGATATCAATACCTCTACATCCCCCAAAGATTTACGAGAACCTGATTCTACCGCGACGTGACACTAATGTCCTCTCAAATCCCGAACCCCAGGAAGGTCAAGTGAACTTCGGGACAGTGAGTTGGCAAGCATAATTCGACAAACTGGTTTTTGCCATAACATGAGATTTTTCTCGAATGCAGCTGGTGGTTTTTTACGGCCCCATCGACACAACTTAGATCATTTAAGAGGTGAGCTTCGACACAACCTGTCAGGGTCAACCCGGGCTGAGAGAGATACAACGTCCGAGCAGAAAGACCGAGATACTCAATAAAGTCCCCCCCCCCCCCTCCTTTCCACGGGAATCTAGCCCAGGTCTTCTGCGTGCGACAGCGAAGTGTCTAACCGCTACCCCACATGCCGGTGGAGCGATATTCGATCAAATAGGTAGCTCCATGTTATGAGATTGGACGTACAGAAAACGGGGAAGACATGGAATGACATCAAGCGACTCGCCCAGGATAGGGAAAGGTGCAGTGGCGGTGGGTAGTGAAGGGCTTACGGGCTTGAGCCCCTCACCCCCGCCCCCTCTCCGCCCCAACTCTATCCCTTAGTTAATGATAGTTTCTTAAATAATGAAATAATAAGCAGTTGAAACCGTCATGATCGCACGCAATGAACACAGTTATCAGCTTGGCGGCTTGCCCGTTTATCCAATCATTGTTGTCAACGCTTACAACTATAATAACCTAACAGCCAATCAAATGTCGTTAGGGCTCAGAAAGAATAAACCGGTTCCCACGCCCGTCTTTAATGAAACTCTTCTTTTTAAAAGGTAGAAGACTTTTACTTTACAAAATTACACTGCACAGAGGGGTCACGCTCTCCCAGCCCTGACATTGGGGTGAAAGTTTACGACACACTTTCCCCCAGTGACACAGATACCTATGCGCCCATTGGGCCTTTGTTAGGCGCGTTCTATTTTCCGCAACAACACGACCCTATCCACCTCATAGACGGTATGTGTTTGGAGTGCTGTGTGTTTGTGTCGCTGAGATTTAACAGTTATTAATTACATCAAACCCCTTTTGAGGCAACTTTTTCTTCAGATAAAAACTAATTAGAGAAATTTGGAGGTGAAACGGCTTCGTCCCCACCATCCAGAAGAGCTTAACTTTAACTAAGAACAAAGAGATGGAAGACAAAGGTGACTCTCCTTGTTTGAATGGTGCTGAAAATGTCGTAGCTCGCAGTGAGTATAGCAAAATCATCACTGTTTTGTTCTTATTGCTTACTTTTTGGTGATAAAGAAGTGGAAGAAACCTAAGCCCCACCCAAATCTTGGTCCATCCACCGCCACTGGAAAGGTGGAAAGTGTTCGTGGCCTATATCCTGATCCAGGGTGAAAAAGGCAATGATTATGATGGTGTTATGAGATTCGAACTCACGTCTTTTTGGTGTAACGGAGGGTAGCCTAATCATTAGACCAAAGAACACTGGTGGGTTTCATCAGAAAAACTAATTATTCTACCACACTTTTAAAAGAGGATACCGAAGTCATGAGACTCCGGGAAAATTGCTGTTTAAAAAGTTTCATCAAAGAAATTAAATTTCACCCCTTCCCCCAAACAACAATAACAACAGGAACAACACAACAACCAAAACACAAACATACACAAACACACACACACACACACACACACACACACACACACACACACACACACACACTTCCATGTAAATATAACAACCAATCCAAAACACAGTGTACACGTATTTTTTAAAACAGATTTTGAACCTCTACTTAAACACCTGGCTCGGTTTTACGGGAGATAGGGGGAAGAGGGGGGGGGGGGGGGTAAATTGGAGGCCCTGCCTGTTTCATAATCGTGCAGAGTTTTGCATTTTTTTCTGAAATCGCTTTGATTAGAGATTCCAAAGTGGGTCAAATACAATCGCTGTTGTACCATATCTCACCCCTAAGTGTCCAAAATGTCCACGCAAAACCCAAACAAGCGAACAATCAAAATATAAATAGAAAAAGAAAAAAAAAAACACGACAGAAAGCAAGTAACTTCAGACGCCAGTTGAAAAACAGCACGCAAGAGCGTAACTTTTTGGAAACAGTCCAGACATCGATACCCAAACTCTGCGACTTGGCTCGTTTTCACGAGTACCCAGCCGAGAGTGACAAAACTAGCGCGTTCCACTATCAAGACGTCCCGCAAATTGGTGGGGGGTCAAAGGACGCTTGTAATATGAGGAATGATATACAGACAAGATAATAATATACTGACAAGATATGCCCCACTATCTGATACTGGCACCGATCCTGAAGACACAGGCTGCTTTTGCTCCTCCCCTCTGTAACCTCATCCCTCCTCACGACCTACAACCCATAGCTTCCAAGACTTATTACTCTGAGAAATCCTCACCTTACACCCCCCCCCCCCTCGTTTTCCTATTTTCACTTCTACGCATCAGCCTCCCCCCCCCCCTTGAGATTTCGCATCCCATACGCATTACGGATTTTTAAAAAATGTACACACTGTATATTCTTTTCCAGGAAAGGGTACATAATGCCATCTTACGGTTCCACCGAAAACGAGAAAAAAAATTATGAGGGCCTTCAACAAGCTCAATAAAATTTGGAAAAAAAGAAGCTGAGCTCAAACTCAATACTGAGACTGTACAACTCAAATGTCCTATCAATAATCCTGTATGGCTACGAGTCATAGAGCTTAAGAAAAGAACAGGAAACGCGAAAATGAATGCTTTGGCGGGATACTCAACATTCCCTCAAAAGATTTCATAACGAACAAAGATGTAAGAGAAGGATTTTAAAAGAAGGTGCTGACAAACTCATATGAAAAAGAAGAATGCCATGGCTCGGCCATATTTTGTGACTACCAAACTCAAGAATTTCCAACCAGACTACGGAAAAAGAGACAGGGGACGAGCAAATAATATGAACTGGGAACAGACTATAGTGAAAGACCTGACTGAAACAAGTAGAGAGGAAATTATGGAGTGATGGCCCCGGTTAGCTGCTGACAGCTGATCTTCCATGGTCATCTCTGATTGTTCCATGCGTCTCAAGATGTGGGAATCTGTAACTGTAAGTCTAAATAAGTACATGCCACGCACTACAATGTTAAACACACACACACACACACACACACACACACACACACACACACACACACACAAAACCGACATGACAGCTGCGTTGAAATATTACATTGTATTGCTTTAAAAATGGACAAGCCAGAGAAGAGATTTTTAAAAATAGAAGCACTGGTTTTGAGTAAACAGGAACTTTTTTTTGTAGCGGTGTTTTTACGTCCCCATCGACACAATTTATATCATTTAGGAGGCAGGATTCTGACCACTGTCAGGGCCAACCCAGGCTGAGAGGCCAACTACGAAACATACTGCAGCTACCCTGCACAAAAAAACCCAAAAACAATTAATAAGGAAACAAAACAACAGCAGACGAGAGTTGATTACGACCACGCAGAAGCGCAGATTCTTGGAAACAAATTACGATATCGAGACCAAAACTCTTCGGCCTGGCTCATCTTCCAAGTACCAAGCCATCAGAGATAATGTATTTCTCAGTATTATAAATCAAGGCGTTTGCAATCGGGAGAAAAAAGAAACTGAAGTCCGGGACGAAAAGAGAAAACGTTCAGAGTAGCCAAAAACTGTATTTTGCAGATTGAATGAAAGAAATATTATACATGTATTCGAGAACACGTAAGATCAGTCTGTTTTGTTGTTAAACTACGTAGTATGAGTACTTTCATGTTTCCCAAATCTTTTAACATAGAAATACACATATGTAAAACTAAATCTTAGCTCATGAGAATAAGAATAAAATAAAAATAAAGCAGTAAAACAGTGAGAGTAATACATG